TGTATTTCGTTTTTTTTTTTCGAAATAAAAATGTGATTTTTGCGTTTTTCTAAAAAAAAACATTTTTTATTTTAGGGGTCAAAATCCAAAATTTTTGAAAATCTGAGATAGCAGTTTTGTAGCGCTGTCTTTTCTCTACATGACCATATAAAGAACTTTGAAATTGCTAAGTAACTGCAGCTTTGGTGAGCGTTTCAAGATTTCATGTTTTTTGCTCATTTTTGCTCGAACATGACCTCGGTTTGACCTCAATAACTCCTGACCTAAGGTGACCTAAGACTTGAAATTTTCTATGGAGATGTCAAATTGATGCCCGGTAAGGTACCTACTGAAAATTTGGCGGCGCCTTTTCTTGCTATTCAGGAAAAACCACAGGGTGGGGCCAAATTGCCCCCCCCCCCCCAGCGGGGCGAGGGTTAATTTCGACAATATTTCAGCGACCGCCCGGTCTCCGTCTCGCATTCATGAAATGCCAAAAAAAAAAAATCAGGCATTCGCTGTTACGCGCGTATTTCTACAAATATTTCACTCTGCCGGCATTTCACGTTGTGCCTAGTCATTTCATGAACTGCCGGATTTCAGCTGATGCCTTCGACAGATACATGCCTACTCTGCATGATGCATCTGCCTCAGAAACATAGCGGTACCTATCTACCAGCCGCCTAGTGCATATCGTGAACAGAGCGATGTCCTGCCCGTGACCGATGGCTGCACCACCATGCGGAGATTTGTAGAACTATTAGTTTCTAGGTTCTTTGACGCCAGAGATCACGATGTGTCGCTAGCCGTCTGATGTGGTTCAGCGTCGAGAAGTGGAAAACGGATCGCAGCTCGCATACCCCTGTCCCGTCGTTTCCATCCTCAGGATACTCAAATCCTTCTTCCCCACACCCTTACCCCCTGGTCTGGGCTGGAGGTCATCTTTATCACACGCGGGTAGCTCCATCGCAGGAGCAGGCCCGTAGCCGGGTGCGGTGAACGTTAGCGGGGCTGGGTGGTCTGTCCACGTGATGGGCTCAGCCCCGGCGGAGCATCAGGGTGTCCGCCCAGGCCAATGTCTCCTTTCTAATTCCCATCATCCTTTCGGCTCTGAGATGGTCTCATTAGACCGGAAAAGCTCAGCCCAGCAAAACAAAAAGTATACTAGATACCGATAGTTGCTATTGACCTATTGTCGTAGCTATTGTCCATGCTTATGTTTGTTTGTGACCATCCATTGTACCTTGCAGTAATCGTTCAAAAGGTCTGGGCGTCGATGACCACTATAGTCCGGGCGCCCAAAAACCCCAATTAATCATCATCATCATCAAAAAGTTTTTTTGTTAAGCCACAATAGTCATCAGCTGGTATGATGAGACGGATTTTGGCGCTAATATTTTCCAATCATTAAAAATCGTCATATCCTGTCATAAATCCTACACCAAGTGGAGCTAATTCAGTTTTCAGTCAGTCACAAGTATGTGGATAGTGACGATGTGGTAGAGATAAGAACTGAGAAGGGAGTTGTGGATCAAATGTATTCCATCGTCAGTTTTGGATGCCGACGATGATATATTACCGAAACAAGTTCTTTTAAGGCTGAAACAGACTCTTTCCGCGTTCAGGAAATCGCATGCGAGAGCCTATTCAAATACATTATAATTTTCCCGCATCAATCGCATCCGGGAGGTGCGTGCGATTGATGCGAGCGTGCTTCCATGTATTTGAATAGGCTCTCGCATGCGATTTCCTGACTGCGGAAAGAGTCTGTTTCAGGCATAATGCCTGAAACAGACTTAAGGTCTGTGACATGGACCGAAATATGCCGAACGCATACAAATCCCATGAAACATGTCTAATGATTACACAGTACACACTACCCACATCTACATATCTGTATTTTATTGTCTCGTTAAACCTGAGTAGCGTGTCTGTTCTAAATTTTTGTATCTTCTTTGTTGCAGAACATGTCACCTATGTGAAGCTGAGATGTTCTCAGCTGATTTTATGGTCAACATACCTCTTTGTTGTGGACACAACACTTGATCATTGGTCTGAGTTATTGAAGCTATAAAGCTGAACTCCCGGGCCCCGGCTCAGGAGGGTCGCCTTTTTTCGGTAAGTGTTCGTGGTCACGGAAACTTGGGTATCGGTTGATGATCATTTTGTCTCTTTATGGACAATAAGTGCATTAAATGTTGTCCATCTTGCTCATCTTCCTTTATAATTCATTTTCTATGTGCACCATTGCAATTTTATTTTTACCTGCCTGATGTTTGATATTCACTCATTTTGAATTATACCTAATCTAGTCTGCACAAGCGCCAGCGAATTACTGATAACTTGGACCTTCATACGGCTCCTCAGCATTACTGAATTATCTTCTGGCCGGCTTTGGTGAACTGACGCTCACTCGCGCACAAGTCTTGTGTACCTAATCATGTCTTTCTGGGTTTACAGGATGGACGCAGTTCCAGCTCCCAAGTTTCGGGTTGTGCCAGCAAATAGACTAGGTAATTATCCAGCTTCACAGGCTTGTAGCAGCGAGCGCCGCGGCTTGTAAAACGGAATCTTCGGTGCTCATTCGATGTAAGTTGGCTAGTGGTTCCCAATTACGAACGTGTTTATGCTGTATTATTTTGAACAGTCCTATCCTTTCGATCCAGATCATGTGTATTGTGACTTTTGTATTGACTGCTTTTGTATTGACAGCAATTGTGAAAATAATATTTACGGTCTTTGATCTCTTGAAAATTGTAATTACTCTGATTGTAAAGTTCATAGCTGCAGTGCAAATAGTTTGATAGCGACCAAGGGTATGATGTAGGTTTGACTAGGTCTTTGAGCGCGAGCTCCTTGTTGCCCAGCTGCCGGTCCACCGCTCGCCGGTCTCCTTACACTGTCTATCGCTCTCTGTTTTTGTTTCAGCCCAGCGACTGAACTCACAGCGCAGGGGCTCACAGCGACTCAGCCTGACCCGGACCGGCGCTCGCCGCGGCGGGCGGGTGTCACGCGTCCTGCCGCGCTCGGTGCAGTGCGTGGTCAGAGGTCGCGCCGCCGCTACCGATAAGTCCCGTGGACGCTACAGAACTCGTCAGAGCGAGAAGCGACGCGCCGCGTGGGCGGCCGCTGCGCTACAACACGAATTCCACGCCCGGCTGGCGGAGTACGACCGGCGCAAGGGGTTGCAGTCAGTCCACATGGATAAGTTTTCAATGTTGGAGGTGGTGAGCGGTGCAGGTCCAGGCGTATGTGCTGCTGATCCGGACCTGGAGGAGGCGTTTCCGCCTCTGGAGCTCAGCTGGAGTTGCGGGCAGCTGGTAGGCGACCTTGATCGACGCGGTGGTGGTGATCCTGCTCCCGCCTCTGCTACAGCAGCTGTGGCCGAGCCTGCTTCTGTGGCCGCTCCGGGACCACCCGCCGCTACAGGGAAGAAACCTCTTACCGACAGGGCTGACGCATTGGCCAACAAGATCGGACCTTTGGCCGATAGTTACGAGCCTGTAGCCGATAGTTACGAGCCTGTGGCTGATAGGTCCGAGCCTGTTGCCGACACTACCGTCCAGGAGTCTTCTCAGAGCTCTGGTCCCAACAGCTCATCATCATCATCGTCGTCCTCTTCTGAGTCATCAACGGCCGAGGATTCATCAGTCTCCATCGACTCCGAGGCTGGACATGAGGGCGGTGTCACAACTCGTCAAGGAAGCGCTATTAGCTCTCAGAGTGGTGACAGTGGTAGTCGAGGTGGTGTCACAACCCGTCGGGGAAGTGTCACGAAATGTCAAAGTGGGGACAGCAACAGTCAGGATGCCGTCACAACCCGTCATAGTGGTGACACTAACAGCCACGGCGGTGAGACTGAAAGTCAGGGAGATGAGACCAACAGTCAGGGTGGTACCCGTAAGAGCAGCATCACGGACTACCAGGGTGGTGTGAAGACCCGTCGGAACAGCGCCACGGAAGGCCAGAGCGCGGTGAGAAGACGTCGAGGCAGCGTCACAGACCGTGACGACACCGTTACAGACAGTCAGAGTAGCAAGACAGACCGTCAAAGCAGCAAGACAGACCGTCAGAGCAGCATCGAGGCGTCTGCGTCTCCCGTCTCCATCAGTGTTGCTTCTAGTACCACCGTCACTTCAGGAGGCACGACTCTACCGACCACTTTAGTGAGCAGCAGCGCCGCTGCGTCTGCTAGTACGGTTGTTACTCCGGTTCGAGCGGCTGTTCCAAGCACCACGGAGACCGTCAGTATGGACGTGTCTTCAGATGCAGTGTCTGTCGTAACCCTCAGCGACACGGAATATGTCCGTACGGATCCTACTCCACTCCCAGTGAATGTCGCAAAGGCCACGACCTCGCGCGGTCGGGGCGCCAGAGGCTCTCGACGCGGGCGCATCTCGACCCATGGAAGAATGGATCTGGCTGTGACGACCGCTGTCTCCACCGCTACTGTCCCCACCGCAAGCACCACGCTGTATGTTCGCGGTAGGGGCAGCAGAGGTGGTCGTCGCGGGTCGACCTCAGGACCTATGATCCCAACTGTGGCCGCATCTACCCCCACAGCCGATGCCGTTCCCAGTACCTCTGAGGGAACCATGGTCCGGCCCACCAGCTCGCCAAGTGTGTCGAGTATCTCAACCCCCGGAAGAGCCAAGACCACAACCCCTGCTGTGGCTGTGGTTACGACGTCATGGAGAACCATTGCCCCGCCTCCGACAGGCGTGATCTATGGCTACAGGAGCATCCCTTTCTCGGATGGATGTGTCTCATTGCTATCACCTCCAGGCAGGATGGTGCTGGCTGGAGCACGCAGTCAGAGCGCCACTCCGTCCCCCAAGACCAGACCATCACAAACGGGACCCTCAACACCGCTAGTTCAGCTCCCCGTGAGCTCATCCAGCAGTCCCGGCGTGTCTTCTCGAACGGCGGAGGACTCTGCTACCGACAAATCATTCGTGGCTGAGTGCCAGCGCAGAGGTGTCTTCCCTCCGCCGCCTGGACCGGCCCCTGGCCCGTACCGCATGGTCAGTGTGCCCGGAGTGCGCGGTCCGCCGCCTCCCGGCCATCAGGTGATCGTGGTCCGCTCTGGAGGCGGAAGCACGGTACGTTATGTGATGGTGCGCGGTGGGAGTCGCGTCACACCTGCCACAGACACGGCCGCTGCTCGCGTGAAGACGTTAGCTCCGCTGGATACGACGGCGATGCAGCAGGGTGGTGGTTCGGGGGCGCGACCCCCAGCGTCGGTGACCCCAGCGCTGAGTGGCGCAGACAGGGTCGGTAACGGCGGTGTCGGTGACGGCGGCTGGCGGAATGCCGCCGGGCCGGCCAAACGGAGCGACGTGCCGGCCGCGCCGCTGACCTCGCCCCTTGTCGGTGGTGGTGGCGACGCCGCGGCGGTCCCACACACGCTACCGGAAATCGGAGCTGGAGTTACTCCGAGATATGCCACAGTCACCTTGGGACCGGAGTCGCGCAGTGACCCGGCGGACTCTGACGTCCCGCTGTCGAGGGAGAACTCGGCGTCGTTTCTGGACGAGAAGCCGTTCTCTCCCCGGAGTCCGAAGAAGCGCAGCCTTCCGGAAGATGGTGATAAGCCGGAGCGGAAGATGAGGTTAAGGTCCGGCCTTCGTCTGGCGGGCTGTCCACCCCCTGCCAAACAGCCTCGCCTCACTGCGACTCGCATCCCGCGCGCCGCTCGGCAGCCGCGGCAGCCGCACCGCTCTCAGGCACCGGTGGAGCGGGGCAGAGGGCGAGGTCGGGGCCGGCCGCGGAAGGTGGCGCGCTCTCCGGAGCTGCCGGAACCGGTGGTCCCCGAGCCGGTGGTGCGCGAGCCGGTGGTGCGCGAACCCACGCCGCAGCGACCGCCGGCAGTGACGCTGAGCCGCAGGGGCCGCGGCAGGGTGGGCCCGCGCCGCGCCGGCGCCCCCCGGCAGCGGGTAGACAGGAGGGCGGCGCTGGGCCGATCCCCCTGGTCACTCGCCATGCTGTGTCGGCAGGTCATCCAGGGACCGACCCCGCCACAGACGCGACGCCACCCTACGCCGGCAGAGCGGTCACTAGCCAAGCGGAGTGACCCGCCACCCACTGCAGCAGGGGTTACTACTCACCACCAGGTCAAGAACACCGCCCCGTGGGTACAGCGTCTCTCAGAGAGCGATGAAGGACGCCCCACACCTGAGCCTGTCCCAAAACCACGGCCTCATTCCGTGGACGCCGCTGCCACTGCCGCATCCCCTTCGAAAACCCTGAGTCACATTGATGAGCCTCAGATGCCGACCCCGGCCATTACGGAAATGGCAGCCGTGGCTGAGGCGACGGAGAAGATCGACGCTGCGCCTACCGCGCCTGTGCCAGCGCTGGCGACTGACACGGAAGAGCACCCTGAGGCGACAAAAACGACAGAGGAGACTGCTCAAGAGACGGAGTTACCGCCGGCCACTACCATATCAGCATCATCGGCGGCACAGGCGGTGGCTGCCTGGCACGGTTTGATGAACATGTCGTTATCCAGCGTGCTCGGACCGGAGCGCGGCGGGCCGGTCGGCGGAGGGAGCAGCGCCGATCAGGCTAGCGCGCCGCTCCCCGCCGGCCTGTCGTTCGAGGGGGTGTCGGGTTTGGTGTCCGACTCAGGCGGTAGTGACGGTGAGCTGCAGAATGATGAAGACAGAGAGGAAGACAGACCGACCGAGGATTCACGGCAGGAGATGGATCCCAGCGGCGGAGAAGCCTGGAGCGATACAAAGCGTAGGAGCGGCACTGACCGCGGTCAGGTCGCAGAGTCTCCGGAGAGGCCGGTGGAGCCCTCTGGCGAGAAGGACGACCAAAGCGACTTTGAAGGAGAGACGGGTTCCGCGGCCGCCCGCCCGCCAGAGCCCGAGTCTACGCTGAACACCAGCTGTCCAGAGCAGCCGTGTGAACCGTCGCCGATCAAGTCCGTGGCTGTAGATCGCGAGTCAGCCGTGGCCGCTGATGTCGATGCCTCGAGTAGCGTCGCGGAGAAAACCGAGGTCTCCCCTCTCCCGTCGGACACCCAGACGCGCGACCGAACCGGATTCAGTTTCTCCACACCGATGACGCTCAAGGAGAGGACTGGGGATGCGCGCACGAGCCGAACTCTAGCCCAGGAGATGGCCGATCTGAGCGCTCCAGCGGACGCCGATTGTCCGGACATGTGCGGCCCAGGCGAGACTCTGATGACCTCCAGCGCGGTGGAACTGGACGCCCTCATCGATCCCGCTGCCAGCGGGTCGTTAACGCTCAACACCTCCTCCACGGGGGCAGCTACCGCGACCACCACCGCTCCTACCACCGCTGGGCCCCCGGGACCGCGCGGCGAGCCGCCGAGAAGGACCTGCTCCTCCAGCGCGGAGGAGAACATGTCGGCAGAGGAGCTGTTCCTGCCAGATCTGAGCGACGACTCGCCGCCACCGGCCGATGAGACTCCGTCGCGCTGGCTGCAGGCGCGTGTTCTGGTGAAGCGGGCCACTTCGCGTCAGGTGCAGCTCAACTGCAGCCCGCCCAAGGCGAAGACTACTACTCCTACCAAGTCGACTGGAGCTGCTGATGGTGGCGATGGTAACAGCAGGTGAGTCGGAAAATGTAAGCGTAAATCGTAATTACGTGTGTTTGTGTAATGTGTAGTCAGTGTATGATCACGTACTTATTTGGCTGAAACGTATCTGGCTTTTTTGTATTTGTTTTGACTTTTGTATTTTGTAATTTCAAGGTCTATTTTTGTGACCGGCAAATGTAACGTATGTGAATGAGAATGCAACCGAGATGCGACCTGAACCTGAAACCGCCACATCTAAAGCCATTATAAGTCGTGCACTCCTGCCATTTATGTGACCTTCCATCGTATCGCCCCTCTCAGCCCCCGATCCACAGTCCTGTCTCATTCCGACACCTCCTCGCTCCTCTCCCGCAGCGCCCCTGCCGAGCGTTCCGCCGCGCCTGACACGGCCGTCTCACCGGGTGACAGGGCGCCCGGACCGCCACGCTGGCAGTGCCGCTTCTGCGAGTGGTCGGCGCTAAGCTCGGCCAGGAACGCCATCCAGCAACACCGCGCCTCGCACAAGAACTGCTGCTACCGATGTCGGGTCGCCTTCAGCACGAGGGTGAGTGGTAAGGGGAGAAGGGGGAGCCACGACAGTAGTGGGAGTAGGACACGTTTGTGTGGCTGTCCAATGTCCATATAAGATGCAGATTCGGAAATATTGGAGACTGATTCATTACTGTCCAATTTTCAGTTAAACTCCTCGTTAGGATTTACTCGTAGTGAGCACCACTTCATTTTGCCTTAACAAATGTTATTTGCATACTCCCGGCCAAGCTACATTAAAAGGTTGCCTGTATTGTTTTTTTTTCCATCCGGTAATTATTCGTTATCTCCGCCCGTCATGACGTCGTTCTACATGTGGTTTTGCAGCCCGTCGACAGTGTGGCTACGGTCCAATACGGTACATCACAGTGGTCTTTGGCCCGGCGCACTACCACCCCACACATCTGTTCACTGACCCCATCCCGCCTGCCCACAGGAGCAGATGGCCGCCCACCGCAAGACTGCAAAGCACCTCGGCAAGGTGGAGGAATCCAGCCGCGGCCGCGACACCGGCAGTAGTACCAGCACCACCACCAGCAGCACCAACAACACCGACAAGAACACCAACAGCACCAGCACCGGCGGCGCTGGCGGCACCAGTGGTGGCGGGGGCTCGCCACATGTGTTCTACTACTGCGGCGTGTGCCAGAGGAAAATCCATGGCCGCGTGATGATAGACAGGCACTTTGTGTCCAACGTGCACCTGACGCGAGCGGCCCTGTGCCGATCGCTGCTGAAGGACGTCAGACGCATACTGGAGAGTGAGTCGGGTGCTGGGATGGGGAGGGGGACAGAGGAGACGGAACTGGGGTGCCGGGATGGGGGTTCAGGGGAGATAGGGAGTTGAGTGCAGGCTACAAAGATAGGACATCAGCAGAGTCACGGGTGGGGTGCCGGGATGGGGGGGGGGGGGGCAGCAAGGAGACGTGATAGGATGTGGGTATGGAGGGTTAGAGGACACATAACTGGGTGTCGGGATAGACGTCAGGGGAGATTTAAGTGGAATATGGGGATTGAGGTCAGGGGGAATCACGAGACAAGGCTTACAGTCATATCTTACAGTATTTTGTAATTTGTGTTCAATTGTTATCCACATACACACTCGCCCCTTCACGACCAACACTCGACACTGGCGTTAGTTCCCGCCGTGACCGAGCGCCTTACCCCGTGCCCCCAGACGGTGGTGACGGCGCCAAGTCGGACGTATCCACCGGAGATCTGTCGGAGATGGTGCGGGAGGTACTGGGTGACCAGTACCACGATCTGAAACTGGCCGCGGCGTCCGGCTCGGCCCGTGGAGCGGCCGGCACCGACAGCAACAACAATGTGAGTGGGGTGGACGGGCGGGCGGTGATAGTAACTGCTGCTGAGCTATAGAGCGTAGCGCTTGTGTAGGGAGTAGCGAGTAGTCGACTGAATGAGTCAGTCGACTACTCGCTGTCATGTCAGTCATGGGGGGGGGGGGCTGAAGGATTCATGTGAAAGTATTTAGTGGTGTTCACGATTGGTCAAAATCCATTGCACACTGCTGAATAACTCCCCCCCCCCTTCCCTCCCTGCCTTGTTTATCCTGCTGCCACCGCGCCGGTCGCCACCAGTTAGGCGATAGAGTTTCATACTACTGACTAACCGCTCCCCTCCTCCCCTCTCTTCTCCTTCAGCAGGCGACTATACACAGCAGCACCACCAGTCGCTCGACCGAGCTGAGTATGCCGGCTCTCTCCGAGGTCATGGACCGACTAGTGACGGTAATGGACGAAACCGAGCCGCCCCCGCCGCCGCCACCGCCCCCGCCACCTGCAGCGGCACCAGCGGCTAACACGGCGGCTACGGGCAGACCAAACTCGGAGGTAAGACGTGAATGGAGGGATATTGTGCTGGTTTTGATTACAGCTTACGTGCAAGCTGATTTATTATAGTTTAGTTTTGTCATTGAAGAGGGCGAGGCCTGCATCGTGGATTTACATGAAAGACGAAGGACGTGATTTGAGAAAAGTAATGCTGATTTGTCATTTTGATGTGTATTGGTGCAATTGACTTGCTTTTCACATTTCTATACTTTGGTTGTCGAGTCGAAGTGATATTATTTTCTACGAACGCACTAGCCTTTCCTTTTTTATATTAGGCATTCGCTGAGGACTAGGTTTATTCAGATGCAAGATGAAATATAAGAAGATCAACATTGTGGAACACATTCGTTATCAGCACATTTCTTCTCTTAGCCCTAAGTACCGGCTCTAATCTTCCTGCTGTAAAGACTTAACTGTCCCCTGTGTTTGAGTACGCTCTCGCAGCGGCGTCTGACGTCCGCCCGTTTCCCAGGCTCGGCCGGCCGCCAGTGTGCCGTCCTGCACCGGCAGTTCTGCGGGTACCGGCGCCTCTCCGTGCCAGCGAACGGCCGCCAGCGGCTGCCGCTGCCACGAGCCGACCTCCAGCTGGGGACCGCCTCGCTGGCCGCCGCCGCCGCCCGGAGCCTATGCGCCGCCGTCGGCAGCAGCCGGCGCACCGCCAGCGGCGGAGGCTCGGCCGGCGGCGGGCTACGGCGGCGAGCCGCCCCCGCCCCCGCCGCCTCCGCCTCCGCCACCGCCGCCACCGACTTCTGGCTACCACGGTTACTGGGGCGCCCCGCCGCAGCCACCGGCACCTTACGGGTACGCACACGGCTATGGAGGGTACCCGGGGACGTGGTACTCGCCGACACCCCCGCCGCCGCCGCCGCCACCGCCTTTATACGACCCCGGCTATTGGGCGTACCGCGGCTATCACGGAACGTACGCGGGCCCAGCGTACGGAGGGTACGAGCCGCCGCCACCGCCGCCGGCGCCGGCCGCTGGCTACCCGGCCGGACGCCAGTGGCAGCGCTGGGACGGTGGGGAGGCGGCGCGCGGGCCGCCGCCGCCGCCCCCGCCCCCGCCGGCGCCGGCCGCGGCGCAGGCGGCCCCGACACTGGAGACTGCGGCTGTCCCCACCCCGCCGCCTTCTGCGTCGTCTGTGTCATCCACGGCTTCCCTGGCGCCGCTGCAGTCGACCGCAGGCGGTGGGGACGAGTTTGAGAACATGTGGCTCCAGATGGTGTCCAGGTAGTGAGAGACGGAGACTCACGGAAGAGAAATTCGGCCATATTCGGTGAACGGTCGATGCTAGAGGGATTTTGGAGAAGTTTTTCAAGCCGAGAACGTTGGACGATGACTGGTTGCAAGCGCGTTGATGCAGTTGTTTGCTGGAGCTCTGGAAGACTATGGACTCTGATGGTATCTTCAGACTAGCGCAGAAGTTTGGAAGTAGTCAAGACTACGGCAGAAGTTAGCCGAGAACTGACGAGGCGTCGAGTGTTTCGTCGCGTTGACTTGATCAGTGATATCGTAAGCTCTTTCCTGTGCGGGCCAGGAATCTGACTCGGGAATCGTTGGCTGTGGATACGGAGCTGCATCCAAGCAGGAAAGATGTGTGATAATATCGGACAAAAGTGTAATTTACGTGTTCGACTGTGATCTCAGAGACAATGTGATCAGTTCTAATCAGGGTTTGATGCGACAAAGTTGCATCGTTTGAGCTGTGAATCTCACAGCACAGCTGTCGTTACCCATCGTGGCGTAGCGATGTCGGCAGCGAAAGCCTTCGGCGGGTTTTTGCAAAGAGACGTTCCTTCAACCTAGCCAAGGTAAAGATCTGACAAGGTCGTTGGTGCGTTGCCCAGTGTGGCAAACCATGCACAAGGTGGTGCATGTTGGATGTTTGGCCAGTCTTACCGTGATACTGCCTTAGTCATAATGAACCAAAGCGGAAGCAACGAAGCTAGTTTTAAGTTGTGAATGTAATCGAGAAGTTGTTTGTTTCGTTCTGTTTTACTCAGGCATCTGCACCGTTGTTTGTTTCAAATACAGATGTTACTTGTTGCTAACCCTTGTGATAGTCGAGCTAATCATCTGCGTTTCACCGCCGTCATCAAACTCAGATATGTCCCAGCTTTGTATCTTGCTTTATCCTGTTCCAATCAGCTAGCGCAAACCCATCTCTGCATAGTCGCATCACTTTAACCCAACACGAAACTCGGGATATTATTCAGGAAATGTGTATTTTCTTCTTCCTGGGCATTGTTAAAGCGTATACAGAATGTGCAATGATTCGATCTAAGGATATGTTAACTATACAGATAGGAATGACAAAGTAAGCGTGTACTTTCGCTGCACAAAGTAACGATCACCGTCTGTAATGACACCACGAATGTCAGATATAGACGAGATAAGAGACTAGCACATCCAGACACTTGAAGTAGCGCAGTGAAACCAAGGCAGTACACAGTCCGGTAGCTAAGAATAGTCACACAGATGACTGATTAACCTGTCTGGGTCACAGTGACATGGAACAATCAACAATGGGACAGAGGAGAGGAGCTACAACACCCTGAAGATCACGTCACCCCGAGCTGCTTCTCCACGTACCTACACACTGTACAAACTGCATAGCGGCGCTAGTCGCTACACCCATGACCACCGTCGCCCAGTTTAACCGCGCATGAGCAATTCATAACAATCACGAGTTTGCGTTTGATTTCAATCGGTCTGTCGTTATCAGCGCCTGTCAGATACTGTATGAGAAGCGCCCCTCATACAGTCAGGTAATCACACACATTTCCACTGTAAGTCAACGCACATCTCATCAATCACTGCCTGCATTGGCAACTGACCTTAGTAATTACTGCCCTCTCCGACCCTAGGGCTACCCAGTACACTTTCAGTCTACTCAACACTCGCAGTCACTGGCCTGTGGCCTGGCAACACCTTCAAGACGCGCAGCTACTGTGAATGAACTTACCAGCACGGACGAATTTCGAGCACACGTTGCCGATCAAATAAGAAATGAGTATGTTCTACCTACACAAAACCCCGATAGCCTGCATGCGAGCAATATAATGAATACCATGGCCGCTATTCGTCGCGAAAAAGGCCCAATGGTAAGAAAAAATAGCAGTTGTAACAAACACAAAAGCAAAAAAATAAAAAAAGTGAAAGCACAAAAATAACCAAAGCTTAGCTTAAAGCTACCCTTTAACAAATATAAAAAATCAACAATCGTTGCATGGCGATCGCAAAGGTTGACCTGTCATTTATCCACCTGCCACGTTATCTATTAATCAGTCATGTCATTTACCCGGCCTGCACTTACAGTTAAATCAGTTGGAATGCGTCTCAAATTCAACATTACCATCACAAACCGCACACTTCGGCGGCGTAGGTCGCCGATTCCCACACTCCACAGTCCTCGTAGCCCGGAGGTCCGTTATCATCTACTCAGACTCTGCAGAAGCCTTCCGCAGGTCCAACTGCAACTATCACACACAAAGCATGTTGTGTGTAGGAGTAAAATCGACTCCTGCTCCTGGGACTTCCCCTGCTCCTGCGGTGACGTTTACGTCTATCCCTACCACTCCTGCCTCGCCACTCCTGTCCCTTCTGCTGCTCCCGCGGCACCTACAGGCGTATTTTGGTGCCGCGCGGCAGTGCGAGGCGGACCAGCGCGGCGGCCGCCCCGCACCGACACAGCCATCATCTGTGTTTGCGCCGCTTCTGCGCCAGCTGCACCGAACCGGCGTGGATGAGGGCCAGTCCGAACACGACCAGTACCAGGCCAGACCACCAGAGCACGCCCAGCGTCTCACTAAACAGCACCTGAAACACCGGGAGGGGTTAGAGATCAGTACCAGGCCAGACCACCAGAGCACGCCCAGCGTCTCACCAAACAGCACCTGAAAGAACGGGAGGGGTCACAGACCACCAGAGCACGCCCAGCGTCTCACCAAACAGCACCTGAAAGAACGGGAGGGGTCACAGACCACCAGAGCACGCCCAGCGTCTCACCAAACAGCACCTGAAAGAACGGGAGGGGTCACAGACCACCAGAGCACGCCCAGCGTCTCACCAAACAGCACCTAAAAGAACGGGAGGGGAAGGTGTCACCAGTCACTAGAGGACGCCCAGTGTCTCACCAAACAGCACCTGAAAGAACGGGAGGGGTTAGACCAGCAACAGAGGAAACCCAGCGTCTCTCCAAACAGCACCTGAAAGACCGAGAGGGGGGTAAGACCAGCACCATGAGGCACCAGGTGGTCTGACCATCAGAGAACAGCTCTCGCGCGACGGCGCGGGATAGGTCAGCATCGCCCGATCGGTGAGGGGAAAACACTACGCTGCCATTGTAAGGATTCTGACCTATTGACTGACCACGGTATATGGCGAAGCGGCGAAGTTATCCGTTGATGACGGAATATATTTAAACATTCAGTTACTAGTTTCCTTGGAAAAATTCCTTGCAAGCCACCAGCTTTTATTGACGCCCTCCCTCCAATGGCTCTCCCGATTCCATACCACTGATATGGTTGGTTTCTTTCAGTGAACTGGCTGATGATGGGGCATGGTAAAGTTCCCTGGGTGATAACTGACAGCTGCCAGTACCTGGCTGATGACGCGTTGTAGTTACCTGGCTGATGACGGCCGTGATGAGCATGTTGGAGGCGGTGGTGATGACGATGGCCTCCAGGGAGGATGCCGAGTGTCGCAGCGCCTTGCTGAAGGTGGTCCACAGCAGCGCGTTCACCAGCAGCGTCAGCACAAACATGGCCACCCGGAACAGGGTCACACGCTGCCGGCGGACAGGAGAGGTCATAATCGGTCACAATCTGCCACAAACGGTCACAGTCGGTCACCAATCACCACTAGAACCGAGCGACGTCGGAACACAGTCACACTCAGCCGGCGGAGCAGGGGTCGGTTACAATAAGCCGCAATCGGTCATAAGCAGCCAGCCAGTCACTACCAGATCTGAACGACGTCGGAAAACAACCATAACCTGCCAGCGGAGCCAGGGGGAGGATCATTGTCGGTCACTAGATCACAGACGCTCGATGGCATCAGAACACACAGTACAGTCAGCCACACGCCTGTTGGTGAGGAGGGGAGGAGGTCGCTGTCGGTCACCCTCGGTTCAGGCACGGCTGTTCAAAACCGGTCACAATCGGTTACGATTACAAATCCCTATCGGTGATCACCGATCACTGCAGTACTAAGACTACCACATGTGTAAGTGGTCACCAACGCCCTTACCTCATCACAGAATCCCAGCTGAGGCTGCACAGCGCCGGAGAACATGAGGAACTTGGAGACCACCAGACAGAGCCAGTGGGCCTCGCTGTAGGAGGCGGCAAACTTGCCCGTGAGGCCGGCGGTGGCCGCGTACAGGCCGGCGTGCGCCGCGTGCCACACCCCCATCGGCTGTTGAGGGGAGGGAGGCGGGGAGGGGCAGGTGGCACGGGTGATGGTCAGTTGTATAACAGGTCATATGCTCGGGAGAGATGAGCTGATGTGTAAATTTGATGCTGCATGAAACGGGCTTGTATCTAAACCAAAATGTTTCATGCAAATTGTGTTTCATGAGGAGATCTCAAACCATTTATATATATATATATATATATATATATATATATATATATATATATATATATATATATATATATATATATATATATATATATATATATATATAATATCTGATTTATGTGTTCCACATAGATACATAACACCTATCCCTTGCATTTGCCAAATTCACACACTGACTTCCAATCTATTGCTGCAACACAACACTGATTACTAAATGAATGAAACCATGTAAATATCTATCGTTTATTTTGCTATGAAACTAAATATGTGCAGTGAAACAAAGTGGAATCAGTTTATCAGCTAAGGTTGGAAGCTGAAATGCACAACAGATAATACACATACCTGCATTTTGTATGCACCAAGTGCAGGAGATTTTACAGGTGTTTTTTAGGCTTACCCAACCAGATTAGCTCAAAACACCACTTGAGCTAAAATTTGAGTACCACCTGCAAAAAGCGACATATTGAATGAAAAACAATATAAATTCATCAGCTTTGCTAGCTTTGAAAATTCCCATGTTTTTCTTTTTCTCTAATCTAAATATCTAAAAAATAGTTCAGTGCATCTGGGGACTCATGTCCCATGTCATGTCAAGTGGCCCATGCCATGTCTAATTTATAAATTAGCTCTGACTGTCATCATCTGAGAAACTTTGTTTTACCTTATCCTTCAAATAAGGTTTGTGCCCCAGGGTGAGGGTCAGCATAAAATTAAAACTGGCATAGCATGAAGCCAGCCCCAGTATAAGGGAGCACTCTTTTCTATTTTCTATGCTTCCATTCCTCTATTCCAGAATGTTGTAGCAAGCTTGAAATTCCAGGAATGGAGGGGCAGACTTGTTACTATAAAAAGTGCAACAGACTAAGGAGCTTCTGTTACATAATTTATTGCTGGTTTATTTCTCTGCTCTTTTGTTATTTTTGAACATTAAAGCAGGCTAGTCTAGCCTATAATACCCATATTGGTCTAGCCAATAGCCATGGTCCAGCCCAATGCATTAGTCCAACCAGCCAGTTCCAGTATCTATAAGAATATTTGGCTAGTGGTCAGGCTCCTCCTACCAACCACTAAGCTTATGTTCTAACCTGTTTGTGCCTTGTTCCAGCATGTTAGTCCCGCCCCAAATCTACAGGTTAGGTACTCATATTCATACCAGACCACCAGTCCCTCAACCCGGGTGAATCCCCCACTCCCCAGTGGCCAGTGCTAGAGCATGTCACTTGTCCCAGCATGCCAGTCTTCTGCCCCAGCCCACCAATTATTTTAACCCATTAAAAACCAGCTTTCTCCACTATCTGATACTCCATGGCTGGCGAAATGCTAATGGACTATCGCCTCCACTGGCGCCAAAGAATACTTAAATCATGCATTAGGACCTAAATTTCTTCTCCCAACCATGCTGCACCAAAATTTTGGCACAGTTATGCTGGGCGCTGCGCTGATATTTTGGTGCAATCGCCAGACATGTCAATGCCGTTTTCGGACATTACACCAGACATGTTAACAGTAACAGTAACATGGATTTTTTCCAGTCTGGCCTCCATGGATATAGCAGTGTAATATAATGCCTAGTAAATACTCATGACCTAACGGTATAACAAATGGTGGAATAACTTGACTGCATAAGAATGTTTTTTTTATGGCATTGATTGGAACCGTAATTTCAATTTTCATTCCTTGTAAAATGAAGATAAGGATGAGGATGATGAGTTGCACATAAATATCAATGTTTGTGCAGTTCAGTTAGACGTATATCTTCAACTATACAACTTTTTAGACTGTCCCCTCGGCCCGCACCTCACACAATATTCGGTTTTGTACGGCAACAAATTGGGCAAGTCAACAACAAACAAAACAATTAAGGGCGAGGGGGGCTTCTATTTTGTCGCACCTGCGCCAGTCCTTCAATGGTGATCGAAATTGGAATACCAAAAACCTTATTGTATGTATTTTTACTTCAAAAATTCTCACAACTATTACATATTTATAGTCACCGTGATATTTGCTAGAACCCCTACTTCAAAAATATATTTTGAAAAACTAGTAAAATTTTATCATTTTCTTAAAGAGTATCATGATACACTTGAAATGTTTCTGTTTCAGCGCACATGTGGCATATGTTACGCAATGGCAAACGTGCGGCGAGTGGTGGGCGAGTGTGTGTGTGCGTGTGTTTTGACTTTTGACTGTTGCAAGCAAGTTGCAAGATTCTTACAGATACTGGACTGTTGTGCGTTGTGCGTAGGAGTTCATTTCGAGGCTGTTGGCATAATTTGTGTATTTCATTTTCATTTGAGAAGTGGGCTGAAAATCAGTGGAAAAAATAGGGTAGTCATAAAGAGGCGTCATACTCGTTTTTTTTTTTGCAACCAGGGAGAGGCGCTATGCCCACTGCCCAGAGATGCTTTCTAATCACACCAAACTTAACCTTACCGGCGGACCTAAAGTAAATAAATACCACCTCACCTACAACCTACAAGCTAACCTACATCGCCTCTCCTTGGCTTAAAAAAAAAAAACAAGTGTGAGGCTTGCTTTTACCACCAAAAATATTCCGATTTCTGCCTGCCCAGTATCCTTTGCTGGCCAGTGCAAGTATGCGATGTAACCTAGCGTTTGTAATGTGTCAAATAAGCTTCAAAATGCTGTTGAATGCTAAAGAACTTCAGAATTCATTTGCATTGGTTTCTTAACATTCCACTGGGATTATCCATAACAATAAAGCCTATTTTAAAAAAAATACAAAATACAAAGTATCAAATATACAACACATCTGATCAACATGCCTGAATATATAGGCTAGCCTGATCAGTTGCCAAAGTATCATGGGTTCAGTTTTCTTGAGGTAAAGTTGTTTTGGTGCACTCAGGTGTCAGCACAAATGGAGTAGGTACCTACCTATTTTCCCAAATAGCCACCAGACTCATCACCTATTCATTGGATTGCATATTAACCCTCGCATGTGTGCGGCGTTTGCCAGCTTCTAATGTGTAGGGGGGGGGTCGGTTGGACCCCCCCCTTGCCGTTTGGCCCCTGATCGAGCTAGAGCTTCGCGGAAAAAACGAGCGTGTTGCCCGTGACGAGAGGAAGCCGATGATACCCAATTTTAAGGTCCTAGGTCATTGGTTGACCTTCCAGGTCAGGTCAATGACCCAAAGTCGGGAAAATCGGGTCCTGTTAGAAAGTCGTAAAGTGTGGCTGCTAAGGGGTTTTTCGGGGTGCTGATCACGAATATCGTGTTAGTTTTGATCACAGATGATGTCTTGAAGCATTTAGACCAGGTCGGGTCAGGTCAGGTCAGGTCAACCAGTAGGCGTCGTGACGGGTATTCGTAGTACGTGTCAACCGCCTCTGACAGCTTCGTAACATGTTACGAAGTCACCAAAACTACTTCGTAAATGTTCAAATGGTTGCTAAATTCGAATTCAGCTCCAAAAACTAGCCTAGAAACATGTAAAACTCGAAAAAGTGACCCGAGGTCACCCGAGGTCACCAAAGGTCAATGACCTGACCTGACCTTCAGGTGACCTTGACACACACGGGAGTAACATCAAATCACATGTTTGAACGTTTGAAACCACGAAAAGCTTGCAAACACGCGGCTAGTGCGAGCCGACATACGCGGAATCGCGATTCCGGCCAAACATGGTCTCGGAAAAGAGGTCACAGGTCAAAGGTCATTTGGGTCAGGGTCATGAAATTTTCAGGGTAGGTGTAAAATTGATCAATGCGAGGGTACTGAAAGTTTCGTCGCGATCGGCCGCTTTTTACGCGAGTTATTCGCGAAAAACCATGGGGGGGGGTCCATCCGACCCCCCCCCCTACACATGCGAGGGTTAATACCTACATAATATTGTAAGGCACATTATGCTTAACTGTAATAGTGTCGTAATCCTGTACATTTTTGTATATTTTAACACCTTACCTATGTTATGTATTTTTCAATAGGTCTTGATTTGTGAAAACCAACATGAGCCCTACCAAGGGAGATTAAGAATGCATGGCTCAAAATCAAGAAAGCAAGCAGTCATCAGCCAAGGAAACACAATCACAATCAGAAGAGAAGATGGACACTAGTGTGTCTCTAAAACTAGAAGCAAATGAAAGCAATACAAATCTAAAAGATACAGAGTCTGGCAATGGCTCAACATCTGTCGAACCAATAAACTCTGATGTAAACAATGGGAATCACAGCAAAGATAATGACCAACCTACTTCCTCTGCTGCTGCTGAGTCTTCAGCAGATTCTGGCGAACCTGTTGCTGTTTCTGCGGATGCCGCTGGGGTCGCCACGGATGCCAAGCTCGCCTCTGCCACCGAGTCTCCTGCTGGGGGTGCGTGCGCTCCACCGGAGGCTGCCGCTGACACGCTCACGCCCTACTCGTACACTTCTCGTGGCGAGTTCACCTCGGAGAACTTCAAAATCGAGATCCGCAACATGCCGCGCTACTACGGCGTCGCCCAGTTCAAGAAGTTCCTCACCAACACGCTCAAACTGAACGTGCACAAGCTGAAGCCTCTGCCGGGCCGCGGGGCCGGGATATTTGTCACACTGCACGACGAGGCCACCCGTCAGGAGGCGCTGAAGCTGCTGGACGGTCGGGAGTGGAAGAAGGCCAAGCTGTCGGCGCGCCCGGCTGCCGCCATACCCGACCCGCTGCTGGCCCACCGTCAAAAGAGGAACCGTGACGATGCTGACGGAGCCGCGAGCGCTGAGAAAAAGCCCCGCCAGGAGGTGCCTCTGTCTCAGCGCACCCGTGACGCTGTTGTTCCGTGGTGGAACGTACCCTACGACGAGCAGCTGCGACGAAAACGCTCGCACGTCTGGGGCGTTCTAGCCGAGTACAAGCGCACGCTGCGTAAGCAGAACTTCTCGCTGTTCAAGTGGATGGATAAGCGAGAGAATACGGTCACCGTGGAGCCGGTTCGACCCTCGCCGGAGACGGAGTGTTACCGCAACAAGTGCGAGTTCAGCGTCGGGTTTCACCCGGACACGGGTGAGCGCGTGGTCGGCTTCCGGCTGGCCGCCTACCGGGACGGCAGCATGGCCGTGGCTCCGCTGGACGACCTGCCGCACGTGTCAGAACGCATGCGCAAAGCGGCCGGCCTGTTTCAGCGTCACGTGCGGGAGAGCAAGTACGCGCCGTTCAACCCTCTGACCCACGAGGGCCACTGGCGGCAGCTGCTGGTTCGTACCACGCGCGGCGGTGACCTGCTGCTGTCGGCCCAGTTCCACCCTCAGCAGCTGACTGAACAGGAGATCGGCGCCGCCCAGGAGGAGCTGCGGGTTTTCATGGCGGACGGGCCCGGTGCGGAGGCCGGTGTGACCTCGCTGTTGTGGCAGACGGCAGGTCGGCTCGAGTCTGGTCAGGAGAGGCCTCACCAGCTGCTCTCCGGCAGCCCTCACATCACAGAGACGCTGTGTGGGCTCCAGCTGAGAATATCACCGGACGCCTTCTTCCAGGTAACCAATCGGGAGTGGCGTTAAGTGTGAATGTGTTTACTGCGAGATGAATGGAATTGATGTGAAGGGTCAGCAATAGCATGTTATCTTACCTGAATATAGGAATGTTTTGATCATTTTTTTTTTTTAGCCTCACAACGAATTCATAGCAATGTTATGACTGATATTCGGTTAAAGGGACCCTCCCACCTTCAAAAAAGTTTATGAATTGGCATGAAAGTGATGTCGCTCGGTTCAGAAAGAGCGAAAACGAATATCTACCAAATTTCACCGAAAAATATTCACCGGTTTTCAAGATATTAGACTTTTACTTTTGTTTACTTTTTTTGGATCTCCGCTGTTTCTAGCGACTTTATTTTATAAGTGCGGCGTTTGCGGCAGATGTTGCGCGCAAATAGCATATACCACCGCGTGCTACAAAACGTTTTAGTCAAACATTTAAAAATCGTTAGATATTTGCGCTGACGTCACACATTTAGAGGGGTATTCCTATGCATTAGCCCCTCTGAATCAAAATGCTGCAATTTTGAAATTCAATATTTCCGATTTAAGGCATTTCTCGATGTTGTGAGTGCCGAAACCGGTAATTGTGAGCCAGGGACCCCATTTTGGCTATCTCAACTCAAATCTAATGTTAAGGTGGGAGGGTCCCTTTAATTTTTCGTAATGTTAGATACATACATTACATTTGGTTCCTCTGACAAATACTTCTACTCTCACAAAATATAAATATTTGCATTCATCATCAGTTTTTTTCTTTTTGTATTTCCAATATCATGCACCACTCTCCTCTCATAATCGATGTGTGTCTCCCTCGTCTGACATTACCTGTTCGTGCCGCACAGGTGAACACGGCGGCCGCCGAAGTGCTGTATGACGCCGTGGGCGAGTGTGCGGAGCTGGACTCCAACACCGCCCTCCTGGACGTGTGCTGCGGTACGGGCAGCATCGGCCTGGCACTGGCCAGCCGCGCGCGCTCCGTGCTCGGCCTGGAGCTGGTCGAGTCCGCCGTGGCCGACGCAAAACGTAACGCCGAGGCCAACGGCATCACCAACAGCCAGTTCTGGGCGGGCCGCGCCGAGGCGCTGCTGCGCGTGCTACTCGACCAGGCCGGTGAGGGCCGCGCGGTGGCCGTCGTCGATCCGCCGCGCGCAGGGCTCGGTCGGGAGGTGACACAGACCCTCCGGCGCACCGAGGGACTCAAGAGGGTCGTCTACGTGGCGTGCGATATCAAGCAGGCGATGAAGAACCTCCTGGACCTGGCCAGGCCGGAGAGTAATCAGTACGTGGGCTATCCGTTCGTGTTGCGGAGACTGGTGCCGGTGGACCTGTTTCCCCAGACGCCGCATATCGAGGTGGTGGCGGTGCTGGAGCGCTGCGATCCTGACCTCTGGCGTCAGCAGGGAGAAGCTGAAGTGTCGACGGCTGTGGATTGAGGGCAGCAGGAGGCTGGGGATGGGGCAAAAGAGGGAGATGGTGGTGGGGAGAAGGGGAACGGGGAGAAGGACAGTGCAGATGTGGAGATGAAGGAAACGGAGACAAATTCCAAGACTGAAGCCTCTGAGACCGCTGAGACAAAGGGTCCCGAAAGTGAGGCAAAGGAGAAAAGTGAGGAGGCTGCGAAAAGCGCGTGACGCGTCAGGGCACAGGGTTATTGGGCGAAGTCTCATTTATGTTAAACGTTGCTGCATCACTGTGTTCACTCGAGACGATATTGTTTTAATATATGATTGAGTCGTGTCTGATTTGTGTACTAATTAATGAGCGACCGGTACTTTTTCGGTGTTATTTGTGCAATTCGCTAACACCAACTAGCGTTCTTAGAGTCGAGATGCGCTAACGCAGACGTTCTTGACTTTAGTGTCGTAGTGGCCATTAATTCAACATTGACTTAGTATTGAGTCTTGTTCTGCGTCAATCATACATTTCGATTGAACACTTAAACGTGAGGGGACGGAGTGGGAGGCCCTGTCCCAGCAAACGGGGCAACGAGGGCCGATTTTCTCGATTGAATCACTATAACGAGCGTCACCGCACCCCGTCCAAACGCCGGACCGAGCTAACCTATTGTATCGCGAGGTGTCAGTCTGGGGGCGTCGGAATCGCAGAATAGGAATGATTCAGTCACGGATGCAAAGCGTCATCCGTGCCGCTACATGACTGAATAGGACGTCCATTCAAATCCAAATCGCCACTCTATTGAATGATCAAGCTAGTTGTGAGTGTCCCGGAACAAGCTTGTCATCGCCGCATAGTTCCACTCCGAGAATCCCCATATCCGCATTATCCCCAAAGCCAAAATCCCCATAGCATGGCACTCTCTCCCCGCCCACACAAACACCGCTCTATCGTCAATTTCATTCATTCCATCTAGCAGAGTGCGGCGCGCGTGCCACGTGGCGCCGCGAGTAGTCGCCGGAAGATAGCGCGCGTCGAATCCGTCGCCGGCCGGTCCGACACCAGGGACGGCTCCCGCGCGGAGTCGACTCGCCGGCGCCGACTATCACAGCGCGCCCGCCCGGCCCCAACAGCCACCAAGAATGTCGACAGGAGGTGCACGCGCGCGCGCGGGTGGACACAGCAGCGAGCGAGCGAGGAGCGCGGGCCGTCTCCCATCGGCACGGCACCGCGCACCGGCGCCACAGCCATCGCCCCATCTCGCCGCAGCTAGCGATAATACCTCCGCGCCGCGGGCCTCGAGCTAGGGGCGCTCTCCGGCCGCGTCCCTCAGGCCGTCTCATAGTCTCTGGATACGTGTCAGCAGCCCATCGCTGCCGGCCTTGGGGGGCCTCTTCAAGCCGCCAGCCCGACCTCCCACCTCGGGGAACGGGTGGGGGTCCCACCGCTCACGGCCATTCTCGTGTAGTCAGGAACCGCCGCCGCAGCTCACTGCTTGTCGGCCACGGCGTAGCGATGCGTCCAGTCGCGTGCGTTCCGAATAGCAGCCGCCTCGTCACACTTCCAAAGCTCGGCCACGTCGTTGGCCAGAGGGTCGTCCGGGTTGGGCGCGCTCAGCAGTGCCTGAATTGAGAGCAGAACGGTCCGAATCTGGAGCGCCGGCGACCACTTATCTGTGGGGAGAGACAGAACACAGGGTGGTTGTTATCTACGAGGTCTTCAGGGATGCAGGGAGGCAGGAACATAGGCCATAGCGCACGGTGTTGCAATGCATGCTCTGTATAGTCGACTACAGAATGATGTTCCACTCCTCAGAAGCTATCAATTGACCGGAGCGCTAAGTTGTGCCAGTTATCACGTAATTAAGCGTGTCGATTGTGAGCATTGGGACAAAGCTATAATTTGTGAACTCAGCCCGTGTGATGCGGCACAGCCTACCACTCCAGGCAAATAATTGCCTGTGAAAAGTGGAACATCATTCTGTAGTCGACTGCACATTGTACGTACAAGGAGAGACACAGGATTTGTGATAAAGGACAGTACAGACATTCAGCCACCGACGACAGCGTAACATGGCATAGCGATCGAAATGCGTGAAACAAAAACGGTATTGTGTGTTCCAGAAACTGCTGTATAGGGGCAGGGTAGAAAGTAGAAACTAACGCCTTGACTGATGACTGCTGCATGTGTTGAACAATAAAGTGTTTGAAACGGTTACTGGGTGGATCGGAAACATTTAAGAAACGATAAAGAAAAATGAAACGGCTAACGAATAACATCTGGAAGACAATTAGGAGGACGGCCTAAAGTTTGTTCCGCGTCTACTTAAAGGCGTGGAAAATTGACGAAAACTATTATGCATACTTCGTCCTTTAACTTCAACTCACATCGAGCAGTGTCTGATTGCGTATTACATGCCACTACACACCAACATTGTCAATGTTTGTAGGCCCATGAAATAATGCTGGTGGATGGACATCAGAAGGGCGCTGTGTGACAAAGACGCCGGTGCGCACGGCCTCGGTCTGTATTGAGTATACCACACACATCACACGAGGCCATATACATATGTGAGCCGACGCCGATAGGAAGGAGGCGTGTGGGAGAGGCCGAGGTCCAACGCTTCGAAAGAAGAAGTCGAGTCGACTGGCTATTGAATGAACGTTCCCAAATATTCAGAAGAAAGTGGAATGGCCGACATCATCATCGAATTACAAACATTTAACAGGGACTAAAGGTATAACTATAAAAGATGCAGCTAAAAGAGTTACCCAAGAGACCAACGACAATTTTACCCAGTAATTGATTATTTTTGTGGGGTCAACCAACTGGCAGCGAAAGTGCCCCGGTTTCGGACCCCCTCCCCCCCCCCATTCCGTCCCGATCTAGGGCAAGGCGAGTGAAACGTTATCGCGGCACGCGTGACGCCCGATAATAAGAAACAGTAATGACGGTAATGAAATCAGACACTGACATTGTACCCCCATTGGCCGGACGCGCAAACACATGTGAGCTCTGTGCGGGCCACGCGGGCACCGTGTCACCGACGGCAAATAAAACTCACAAGAGGGTCGAGGACGACCCACTGAATTGGTCACATCAAAGTGGTGTTTTGGAATATTAATCAATCGGAAAAAGTTTGAGAGATGCCGAGTGACGCCGGACAAAAGAACGAAATCCATTGCAGAAAACGACAGCCCGAAAATGCTGCCTACGCTTCAGAAGCTCGTTGCCCAGCTTTGTATGAAAATACACATGACTATAAATCGGGACTAAGGTGCACATGAAAATAAGGGAAATGAAAGAATCGCCTTCTTTTAAAGGCATGTCGAACTCGATAGCAAGGGTAAAATACCCTGAAACGTACCGCATTATAATATTACAAATAACACACATAACACGAATTAACATTTGTCATCACATGAGATGACAAACTCATTGACAACGCAACGCTTCGGTCCTTTTGTATTAATGACCTTGATTTTTTCCCCAGTAGGTAAGCACGTACGTACCTTCTTTAGGAATCGTAAAAAGGAAATCCTATTCATCAATCTGCCCTTTTCGCGTGACTCCTAAACTGGCATTGTTAGAAATATGATTGAATATCAATTGTTAAGCTCTTACCTCACTGTAGGGAAATACGAAGCCTCACCGCCCCAACTCAAACCCGGAAGATTGTAAACCCCAAACTAAGCTAGCTAGTAATTCAGTGCATGTCCGCGAAGAATATTTCCTAAATTTGAAGTTATGTCAGCTTCCGGCATAATTCTGGCATTAATTTTCACATGTCGAGTAATTAACGGCAGTAATCAGAATTTATCGCGCGTTGGTTATGCTTCTAATGAAATTTATGCATGCGTAACATGTTCATGTTTAGGATCTGCTTATTTACACACGCAACACCAAATAATTGAAGAGGCAATGTCATACAACCCTCGGTTTTCTCTCAATGAACTATGACACTTCACAATTTCACGAAATATGTGCGGGAATTTTCATTATTTATAAGAAAAACTTACCAAGACCGACTTAACCTAGACATGCAGCTTGGTCGATGTCTGAATTATGGAAAACGAACAGGAATGGATGGAACAACCATGGACGTCAACCCAATGTCCATGCAAGTAACAAGGAGGCTGGTGCACTCACCTTTCAGAATATCTAGGCAGATCCTTCCCAGCTTGTCAATATTTGGGTGATATATTTTGGTCATAAATCGTACTTTTGGAGGCGACATGGGATATTCTTCCGGCAAGAATAGCTCCAGCTTGAAGACGCCCCCTTCGAATGGAGATCCCTCAGGGCCTGCGGGAAAAAACGGGCGCCGTAATTTCTCGTGACATTCAATAGGGCGCGTCGTGTAAATGAATAACGAACTCATATCTAATTCGCCTCATTTTTGCAACAATTTTATCGGAAACTCTTCCGGCTTTCGCTGTACAGATTGTTCGTTAACCTTCAAACAGCAACAGAAACGAAGACAAAAGAGGGAAAAGTGTTGCACCTTTCAGCTTATCCTTGCAACTGAGGTGAAAAAGTATACCGTTAGGCATGCAGAAAACACTATATAAGCAAACTTTATTATCATGATTCATGAAGAAAGGTGTTTTTGCAGAGCATTGCCGTAATCTTGAAATAAGAGTCTATCCTGCATCTCGCCCGCGGCATACTGTAAACCAGCACTGGCCACTCACCTGCGACTATGACGTGGAAGTAACGGGCGTTCTGCTCATCTGGGACGGCGCTGATGCCCGGCACGGGGTCTGCCATCAGCCGCTGTGTCTCCTGCGTGATGGGAACACACTGGTAAGCCCAATAGCGAGGTATGGTGAGAAGTGACGGAACAGCATTGGAGCATGATAGGCACAAGACAGGTGACAAATACAACTTTAAATGGGTACTGGTTATCAGCCATACAATGTACTATGACTATTTGCATATCATACTGGATTCCTGGTCAGATGATACATTTACCTGAGTAACTTGAAAAGAGGTAAAAACATTATGATAGGCAATATACAAACATACCTTGATAATTCTCCTAGGCAGCTGAGCAGCCATTTTGCTGTGTTTTGCTGAAACCTGTTGTTTCAGACTTTCTGAAAGAGTAGAAAACGAAAGTTCAATAAAGTTGTTGTCCACTCACTGCACTCAGTCAATATCAACTGCATGCTTTAATCAATACACAGTGTAAAAGGAAGTGTGTGGGTAAATGAATGAAACTGACTCATATTCAAAGTAACACACAAGTCTTAAAATTGTGAATATGGACAATGGGCATGGATTAAATACTTAAAACAAGTTAATAGTCCATTTATCTTTCATTTTGGCATTCCAACACAGTGAAGACATTTGAATAAAAAATGTGTTCATCATCAGGCTACTATATAGGCCTTGCATACAGCAAGTGCTCCAAAAAGTAGTTAACTATATTAGATAAAGTCACATATCAGGCCAGTTTGCCCAGCATGAAAATTGCTGTCTAAATTTACTTTTTGTCTTGGATTACTCCAGATTTTTCCAGCCACACCTAAATTGCCTAAAGCAGCAAAAATTTATCAACCAGCCTGTTTTCATATCAAAATGCCAACAACCAGTAATTCTTATGTCATTCACAATGGCCTTTTGCCTCAACACTCTAGAGCTGTTGCTGGGGAAACATTTACATTTTCTAAATTGCAATAGCCCAGGTTGGCATAGGGAATTGCTTTGTTGCTTTCCAGATTAGGTAGAGATGGTTGGGAAAGAAAAGATAATATAAGTAGCCAATATTATAAACAATCAATCATTAAGTCAACAATGAAAAACTGATTCTCAATACAAACACAGCGCAGCACACAACACAACGAGCAAGGCAATAGCCTCATACTGCTAAATTCCCACAGCATCATTTATGCTCAGTTATACAATGTCCAAGAAAATTTGTTCTTAAAATGGCTCATTTATGATTTGCTTGACGATTATCATGGAAATGCTTTGAAAACTGCCTGAACATATGCAAGCAGCGAGAGAGACAAAGACATTTAGGGTCAAAAAGATGTTGTAAGAAAGGCTTCTTGAAGAGAAAATAAATATGACTTGAGCATCATTACTTATGGTTAGTTTCACAACTAATCATAATTTTTAAAGTTAATTCGTATTAAATAAAATGTGTTGCCTAAAAACGTTGGGATGACGGTATGACACGGATGAAGTAGCACAGACTGAGTCCCACCAATTGTATCCAACTTACATCACCCATACGATGCATATTTGATCACAACGATAAAGTTCCTAATCCAACGGCTCATGAAAATACATTCTTAACGTATCCCAATTAAAAATTTATTGGAATAACTGTAAAATAAATAATAACTCACCCAGTTACAACTCTCTCACACAATGGACACTGATTCGTCAAAAGTGCGCATGTTTTGCAGACGGCATAATATGGTAGCTTTTTGAAGGGAAAGTAATGCCTTCAGCTGTATGAGCCAGGCGCCGTTTCGAACTACTACCCAATCCATAACTTGGGCCTGTGCCCTGTGGCCGGTGGCCCCATGTAATTTGCACGGTGACTATAAATAAATTTGATCCAGGAAACTTATGTCGAGTTCCTTGAACTCTTTAGACTCTCTTCATGTCATTTCACCAGAAGTTACTGACAAAAAGAAACTCCGGCATTCCCAAATGGCTGCAGTGGCGTCATGCACATGCACGACGTTAGGTAGGCCGAGAAGTAAAAAAGTGCGATAGCGTAACATGTCGATACTATCGACTCGATAGTGACATCCATTTTATTACAAAAGTAGGTTTAAATAAACGTTTACCTACGTTTTTATACCTACCTACCTATGTTTATTTATTTTACGTTTAAACGTTACCTAAATAAAAACGTTTACCTACCTACGTTTTTGGTAAACGACAAGATCAATCTGAAAAATATAGGTATGCATCATGCTCGAAAAGTAGGTACTTAATCATGAGCCATTGCCCAGATTCAGTTTAGAACTTTGTAATTTGTAAACTAATTGACATACCTAGAACATTGAACAAAAATCGAAGGTAGCCATAGGTACCTAGGTATATTTATACTTAACAAGGTATTGGTAGTCTTATGATCTTTACGGCGATTTTCTATGTCTTTTTTACACATATGCCGTTTTAAAAAGCGTGGCGAAAAAGGAGGCATTCGTCGGTCCCCCCATAAGGCTCCCCCCCCCAGAAATACGCAGATTAACAGTTTCGTATTCCCTACCGTTTAGTTATAATGAGAGCTAAAGTCATGTGACTGTCCTATAATAATCTGGCCTCGGGTGAAACGGCGTGAAAATTCTGGGATAGTGTAAAAGCTCTAACTCAGGGCCTAAGCTCTAAGCTCTATCTCTAAAGGGGATCTACTATTTAGCTTCACGCAAGGGCCAGGACCGAGAACGTTGCGAAGCTGTATAATTTTTGACCACGCCGAGGTTAACCCGGCACCGCCTGGGCTATTTCCGTACCCACATCAGCCTGGGGGGGGGGTCGGATCCGACCCCCCCCCCCCTGTTATCTCGAGAACCAATGGTCGTATCGAGCCCCGCGAGGCGGCGTTCGAAAGGTCTCTACGAGACCTTCCCAAAGCACTCTTAAGATTTTAAGATTGAGGTCAACTTTCGGGTCAAGGTCAGGTCAAAGGTCAAATTCAGGGGTTTTGCATGATTAGGCTTACGGACAGCGGAATCGATAGCTGCTGCTCGAAACTCACCACAAATGACCTCAAAGACCTAGTGAAGGTACCATGTGGGTATAGGGGTCATACTAAGTACGGGTCAAGGTCAGGTCAGGTCACGAAAGGTCACGGTTTTCACTTTCTGCTACATGGGCGTGCGACACATGTTTTATGGCTTATTTTTCACGCCAAATCCGATGGTAATGGTTATATGTGACCCCAAGTCACTGTGCTGGTGATAAGTGTGCATTGAAAGCATAAAAAATCGTTTATACCATACATAACTAAACGAGGGCTAAGAAAAAAAGTCAATTTTTCAACTTTTTATTTTTGACATAAAAATGCACTTTTCTAGACGAGCTTTGTCCCAGGAATCTAGTGGTGCCATTTGTTTTCACATGCGATGTTCAGAAGTGCCTCTAATTCGCGAAAATGCTTATGACGTCACCATGCCCTATGCATGTTGGAGCTATATTTTACAATTTGGGGGTCAAAAATCAAGATAGAAAGTTGAAATTTGGGGCATCTAATGTTCTAATAGAGCTCTATAACATATATTCCGGTTTTTTGGAAATTTTCAAAATTTTGGATTTTATTAGCTGTTTTCCAAAAAATATAGTTTTTTGAATTTTTAGGGGTGAAAAACGCATTTTATGGAAAATCCGAGATAGCCATTTTAAAGAACTCGTTGAGCTGCGTCTTTTCATGTCCTTAATTTGCAATTTGCTTAAAACCTTGATTTTTGGCGATTTTTTAAACATTTACCATTTTTTGACTGAAAACGCCATGTAGTTACATCACTAAAATCGATATATCTCAAAAAATATTGAAATTTTTTTCTTAAAAATTGCACAGGAGACGTAAAATTGATGGGGGAGAAGGTATGCAAAGTTTCAAGTTGATAGCGCAAGTGGTTCATGAGTTATTCAAGAAAAACGGAGGGGGGGGGTCGGATCCGACCCCCCCCCCCAGGCGGTCGCGGGTTAAGGTATGTAGAATAGGTAGGTCAGCGATCTGACCTGACCTGAAATGTGGCAGGTGTTTGTTAAGATAGTTAATGCTTGAGCCACAGATAACAGTAGTACTACTGTAGGTACTACTGTTATCTGTGCTTGAGCCTAAGACTGGTGATATATTTTAGTCCTCTAAGATATATCATCGTTATTGCATTTTAAAACCGTGCGATCAAGTACAGGTACCGACCCCATCAAAGAAGCAGTCACTAGCATTAGTATTTCGCTTGAAAGCAAGCGTTGTAATAAATTTGTTATTTCGAGAATTATTCCGTACTTACTCGTAATAATGCATACGCAGCGACGCATAGATAGCTTTTAATAAAGAATGCAATAGGTCTGAAATAGCTAACCACCCTCCATCCCACACGCCTACTGTATTATGTATTCACGGCAACGGCAACGGGAGCTTGCATGCGCCTGTGATGATACCTTGATGTTGTTACATAAAACTCCCTAGCAAAGTTTCCGCTGCTGTAGCCAATATCAAAGAGCGTATCCTCTCTTTGGAGCCACTTACCGTGCAAGAATTTCCGATCGGCGCCCCCCATTGGAGGCATTACCGACCGACCCACCGCTGCAGACCATTCAATCAACAGTGCCGGACGAGCGTGCCGGTAACCGCAGACGCCGACCCGACCATCTCGATGAGCCAGCTTGCGGGCCATCTGCATCCTGCTGCGTCACGAGCACCGTTCTCCGAGGAGAGGGCAATCAGAGCTTCCCCGGCAGTATCGTCATCAGTAACAGCGGCTCTCATTAGAGCTTTCCCGCCTAGCATCATGCCACAGTGAGGCGACTCGTGCATGGATTTGTTTACGGTGCTGGGCAGGGTGGGACAGCACTGAGGGCAGCTGTATGTATGTATGAGTTATTCCCGCTAGGTCGGCCTCATGGTATCGCTTTAGCTATCTAACATATAAGTTGCAGGGAGCTCGGACAGAATCGTGGGTCGTGGCATTTAGCTGCACTTGATACAACAACCCTGCGTAATGCGTTATGTCTTACGGTATTTGTGAGTGTTGTATTTGGTGAATAGACGTTCCTATTCTATGTTGATTGATGGATTAAACGACACACTAAAAGCCTGATTTGTTTATCTGTCCTTGTTTATTTTTGTTTTGAGTTAATAATTTGTTATCTGGACCTGGAGAAATATCGCTTGTGGCCTCCCCTTCCTTCTAAAACGTTTCGCGAAAATCTAAAAGCGAGGGCATTAAGTGACGCCGTTTTTGGCGTTCACTTCCCATTTATTTTAAAAATACTAAAATGTCGGCCTCGGGTAATTGAGGGTGAGGTCACCATAGCCTATAAAAAGAGAAAGAACTACTGACGCACTAGGTACGCCGAGTGACTAGTTGTTTTTCCAACTTCAAAAGGTTGATGAGAAAAACCGAAAACATATTTTCTCGAATTTTAGCAATTAGTGGCCTGCGGTTAGGTCAACTTTTAGACCTTTCCCACTGGTTGTACCTAAACCGCTGACCTACTAATATAGGTCAGTGAACGAAATAAACTTGACCTCTTTTGCATGGACCTCAAAAAATGTTTGTGAACATGACAAAGTAAATATCTTTTGAATGCTCGGAGTCGGTTCATTGGGTACTGGCTAGCCATAACTTTCAAAATTATGCGTCTGGGGTTATGTAACATTAACAAAATCCGAGTTTTTAGATTTAGGGGGATATTTTGGAGGGGACATACCCCCGCAGCGTCCAAGAGCCCCTTTCCGGATCCGCCTGAGCTCCCAAGAGTCCAGACTCCAGAGTCCAGATCATACACCACATTGACTCAACTCGTCGATGTATAACGTTTTCATCGATGCCATCACCGTTGCCAAGAGGCGATGTCGGCGGCTACGTCACTACTGAAAGAGGTGATGACGTCATGTGCTGAGTTGACCTCAGTGTATTCACGTCATACCAGATTACGTACCAGGTGACGTCACTGTACGGGACTGACAGCGCAAGTCGCCACACGGAGCTCGTCACAGTGACGCCTCATGTATGTATGTATACATAGTCATACATAGTCATACATACATATGCACATGACAACTGATCAGCAATCATGAGGATCTATAAGCCATGAGAGGTTAAACACCACCAGTCTAGAGCCGCAATAGCCGACAAGGCAAACATTCGCTGCACCAGGTAATGCAGCTTGATGGTATTTACAGGGTAAATGTCAATTGTCGATGTACGAGTACAACAAGCAATGACATCAGAGCACCTTTAACAGCCGCTTTGTCAAAATGACAAAAATAAGGCCACTGCCCTATATACGGGCTATGATTCCATACGGCTCATGGAATGCAGCTGATGTCTGGTAAGGTCTTCAATCTAAAAATAACGAACTCCAAGAAAAAGTTGACATATATTTATAAAGCCAGGGCCCTTGGTGGTGAAGCAAAAAATGGCTACATGGATTGAAACCACCTATAGATTAATCGTGAATGCAAGTAAGTTCGTTCGCAACACTGCACTCTGTAGAACGAGGGAAGTCTTTTCGTGTAGGGGAGGTGGACAAAAATGCAACTGTTATAAATCATGTAACTAGTCATTTTTGCGGCTGATTAGGGATAACACCGATGGGTGAAATTAGATGAAAACGTTATTTTTGCAAGCCCTCGGGGAAAACCGTCTCACCCTACTCGATGTGATAAAACGGTCAAGTGGGCAGGGTTATAGGGCGACCGACTTTTGGCATCATGGAATGCGGTAACTCGTTGGTGTCGAGTGCATAAAAATGTGCGACCTTAGTGGATAAACGTTTGCTTGCACATTCAGTCATTATTAATAAGTTCTGCTATTGCCTTTCTATTTGA